CTTATATATTTTATATAAAAAATAATGTTAATTTCAAACAATAGTTATCAAATAATAAAACTAAACAAAAGATTCAACTCCTGAAACAGTAACTCTTACAAATACAAATTATACAGTTTCGTATTTCTTTAACAATTTAACTTTTGTCATTCTCTTAAACAAATTAACTGAGCCATCATTTTTACAATCATTATCCAGATGATTCCATAATCTTATTCCTTTGACTGAAGTTCATCTGTCCTTTAAATTTGTTTGAATTTTAGGTTTTACAAAAAATTCTAGTCCCTTATTATGGTATAGAATTTAAATATATGCCTGAGAAATATTGCCCCTTTAAATTACACAGCCCTCTTGTCCCAACAGTGCTCCAGTTTGGGTTCATCACAATTTTTGTGGCAGCGTTCCCTCTGGCGCCGTTCTTCGCCCTCCTGAACAACTGGGTGGAGATCCGTCTGGACGCCCATAAGTTCGTGTGCGAGTACCGTCGACCGGTGGCCGAGCGGGCGCAAAACATCGGAGTCTGGTTCAACATACTGGAAGCTTTGTCTCACCTGTCTGTCATTGCCAACGTACGTAGATCCTCAACTCTACAAACTTTTATTTTATAAAACTTACTAACAGATAAAATATTTATTTTTACAATGTCTTTCGTCAGGCTTTCCTCATAGCTTTCACGTCAGATTTTTTACCTCGCTTGCTGTACCAGTACAAGTTTGGTAATGATCTCCAGGGATACGTCAACTTCACTTTGGCCTTCGCCCCACAAAATTACACCGATTACCCCATGTGCAGGTGTGCTGAATCTGTTTTCCTAAATAAAGAGCAAAGGACTCTTTTATATAATCCAGTTTGTTGGGTTTGAGAATAATCATAAAAAAACTTTGGTTCATATTTTCACTGAGGGAATTCTTCTTGCTGTCAATAGAGGGCAGTGTTTGTGATGTTTCTGCTGCTCCCAAAGTTTGGAGTAACTCTATTTTATTCGTTTTTAGATACAAAGCATTCAGAGACAACTATGGAAACTACACGCTTTTCTACTGGGAACTCCTGGCTGTCAGACTTGGTTTTATTATTGCATTTGAGGTAAGAAACAAGGCTCTTCTTTCAGCGGCGCCTCCAGAAATCTTTCTAAAGGAGTGGCCTGGAATTCTTTTAAGGCTTTTGGTTTCGGTGTGCCACCCTGGGATTTTCAGTGGCACACCAAAACCAAGAGCCTTAAAAGAATTTAGTTATGTTCATGTTGTATACAGGTTATTTGACAAATATAGCAATCGTTCAAGGGATGGCCTTTGCCCACATGATGGCATGTTCCAGTTATCTGACTCATTCACTCTGAGTTACTTTATTAAAGCTGGTCAAGTGAATATTGCATTGATGGGTGTAGAAATGTATATTTYACCCATTAATTCACTCCAATAAGCTCTTATTGTCTAATATTAAGTGGTGGGAGAACAAGAGAGATATTTACATCATTCTAGATCAGGGATGGGCAAMTTAAATGATGGAAGGGCCACAATTTTTTGTTGATGCTACCAGAGGGCCAGATAGTGCTATACACTTACCCAAATGTAATAAAACTGTCATTTTAAAAATGTTTGTCTATATTCACCAGGGGTGCCCAAAATTATTCCCTCAGAGGGCCAAAATGAAAATCTACCCAAAGGCTGCAGGCCAAATGCAATAATATAATAGAGGAAATGCTAATACTTCTTAAGTAAAGTGCTTTTACTTTTTATGATTAAACCAAGAGCCAGTGCAGTGGCCCATGTTTTGTTTGTTTGTGTTTTTAATCTGTACACTCTCAGTCAGCAAAGGCTCATGGGACATTTCATATATTGATAAAATATGAGTATTTGTAGTCTTATAAAGTTTTCAAATCTACATGTGTGTTTAAATCTAATGTAAATATCTTCTTTGGTTTCTTGTATTTTATTCACGATCTTAATATAATTCAGTGACAAAGTCAGCTATCTGTGCTACAGTCCTTTATTTAGTCATTGGACCATTGGATGTAATTACTGTACATGGAAATACAGAGTTTCTACAGAGGATGACAGGCAATTAAAAAATACTGGTGGGCCAAATCAAATGGCTTGGTGGGCCAATTTTGGCCCGCGGGCCCCACTTTGGGCACCTCTGATGTATACAGTATACATATGTATATTTTTATTAAATTATGGAATAATCTGGAGTATGATATTAAAAGTGCAGGATCAATGTATAGGTTTAGGAGAATGGTAAAATCCAGCCTGTTGAAGAAATATGAAATGACATAAAATTTATCCTTAAAAATTGTCTGAGAAAGATATTTCATTTTTTATGAATTTTTTCTGTTTTTCCTTATTGTTTGAATTTCTTTTGATGTAAAAAGGCACAGATATAAGATTTTTTCTTCCTTCTGCTGCCTT